TATGATGTAAAATTAGATTTTGACTCGGCTCATATTTGAATTTTTTAATCTCCAGTGATTGCAATGAATAATTAAATGAAATGGAAATAACATATATGGTTTGATTTGAGTATTTGCCTTATTTTCATATACATCTTATTTTAAAATATATCTTGTAATTCAACAAAAGTCTCACTAAACATTTTTTCAACATAAGTCAAAAAATGTATGGATATATGAGAATAAAGAATGGACAGTAATTGTATTGGTTGAAATAAGCAAGGATAAGCTACACACACTATTGTGTGTAGCGTGTGAATGTAGCTTATCTTAACCCTTAGTAGATAGAATTCCTGCAGAATGGTCTATAATAGATCTCTTCTTTCTAGCAATTCAGTCAATAGAAAAATTTCTATTAGTTTGTACAGATAAAGTTAGAAAATATTTAGGTAGTATATGTCTATAATTTAATAAAGTTTATCGTAAAAATGCACGAATACGGTATGGATGTGGATAGAAGATTCACATTCGCATCTGAATTCACACTCATACTGTCATGCAGTTGTTTTAAAAAAACATTCTGTACAGGAGAACGACTATTTCGTTTTTTAACAGATGGACTTTTTGTCTGAGTTGCCAGTGTACGAATTTATAAAAATTGTTTTGATTCTCGAAGGCTTTGAGGAGCTTTAAGAATAATCTTTGGCATGATCTGGACAAATAATGATGATGTCTAGAGTAGTCTGTACCATTTTTTGTATAGCTAGATCTGCAAAATGAACAGTTTTTTTTTTAGAGGCAACCAAATCGTGCGAATCATAGAGACACTTTTGAGACCTTCAGTCACTAGAGGCTGTGGGTAAGAATCAAAGACTGAACTGAATAAGAAAACCTTGGTTAGGATTTAGGTCGATTCAATTTGGCTGATACTGAAAAGGACGATTCTTTTAGTTATATTAGTAAAATGTATCCTAAACCTATCAGTCCAGAGAAATTCGGAAACTTCATAGCGGAGCTGCAGTGTAAATTAGAACTTGCGTATCATAACGAGAAGTTTTTTTTTCTCCATCAGTAAAGGTTTCAGTTACTGAATTTGCATAATTAACGTTGATATAGTTGGCATCTTCTTGGAGAAAGACGCCTCTATTAAGAAAGGAATTAAACGAATTTCTTTTTTTCAAATAGCCTCTATCTCAATTCTCTGACCTGAATTGTAATTAGGAATATGTTATCTTGGTTCGATCAATTGCATAGTCGCTGAATTAGCAGACCTTGATTTTTGGTTTTAAGTCAAGTCTTTTAAAGTCAGTTGTCATCTCAAATACCGAATCAGGATATTTCGAAGAGCAATAAATGTTCAAATCTACAATTATTTGTAACTATGCTGCCAATCATGTAATCGAAGAAGCAAACACCCGCCATACCAATAATAGAACTTTATTCATATGTTCTTTAAAATGATGCAAAAGATTAATAGCTCTAAATATTGCAAAAACCTAGAGATCCCTACTAGATATGGAGAAAGAGAAATAGTCATGACAACAGCTGCACATGGATCTGTTTGTTCTAAAATAATCTATCTTACAATAAATCAATAGAAACTGACAAATTTTTGAATGGAGATACAAACAATAGTTGCCTAAATAGACTTCTCATACAAAGAAATTGATTCCGTTTGCAAATGTACAAATATGCAGAGAACACGAACATTACACTGAAGTGAGCTTTATTGTTCATGTTTGAGATTTAACGAATGGATGGTTGGTAAGTCAAATAAAGAGATTTGAATGCAATTCGATTCGATTGGATTCCGGTCTCTGATCGAAAATCCCCGTAACAGCTTGGTCTTATGCACGTACCATAACAATCAATCTGCTAGCCTTAACTTTTGCTTTTCAGCAGTTGACTAGGTGAGAATAATTTCAAATATAGATGACATATTTGATAACTTAATCAATAAAGATAAATGCAGAGCTAATTCGCCAACGCGTTTCGTATTGTTCATTGAAATATAAACATTGACCAGAACGCTGTATTACAATAAGAAAATGCAACAAATACAATGATAGATAAATGAAAGAATAAAAACTATTGTTTAGTTGATTTAAAAAATGAAGAATATGAGAAATATAAAAGAATAGGGGGATGTTCAAAGAAACGAAGGACGAAGGAGGCTTCAATTGTATTGACACTTGAAAAAAAATATTGTATCAGATTAAGGATGTGTGAGATGAACTTTGGTGTAGGCATGATAGTTATGTTGGAGTCCACGGACGTTCAACACACCTACGCAAGTCGACATGCTCACTTCGCAGAGCCGTTTCCACAGTCAACCGTACCAAGGCAATCCAGACGCATACACTCTTTTCAGAAGTTTATTGAGAAAGCTCACAGCCGTCTTAATCTAATATTTCCGGGCGCAACTTTTTCGAAGCTTGTGGGATGCATGTAAAACTTTCTTGGACTTGCACAAAAAGTTCGAACACCATTGTACCGGAATTATCCTTGTGGATAAAGATCATTGGAGTTGACGTGAATATTACGTTTTCAATTTCAATAGAAACATATTTTTCTCTATAATTGTACTGATGACTGGACAAATTTTTATCTCAAGGAATTCGACAAAATTGAGTATATCTCAAACTTTAACACGTTGAAACAAATATTTTTATAGAAGCTGAGCCTTTTGATCTTTATTACAGCTATCTTACACGATGTGCTCGCTAGTTGATATAGTAGAACTTCTCATAATTGTGAAACTGTTTTGATTTTCATTTTGATCATTGTAGTTCGATGTCAGCTGAAGGGTCTCAATTGAGTGTCGGTGTCGTTGCATTTGGATGTGTATAAATGTAGCAAGGGTGGTGTACTCTACTTATCAATGGTCACATCTACACTAAGACCACCTGTGTTTAGAAGAATTAAGAATGTTTCCTATAGATGCTCACAGAAAATGAATTCTTAGGCAACAAAAAAAACAAGTTTCATAACGATTACTTAGAAAAAATTACAGAATACAATGCAAGCAACCCTTTAAGATTATGGTTTCTGCTTGTCTCTTAAAGTTTTTCTCAAAGAAACTCTTCATTGAACAAACAAACTGTAGGTCGCCTGTGATATTCTGAATAGTATCATCATATTGATTCGATTGAATCAATTATGTTTTTGTGATGAGATTTTCTTAACAACATTTCATTTTATTTAGAGTAGACAAGAAGAAAAAAGTACTGCAGTTTGGTTCTTGACACTATCTAAAATGTGTCATTTCCTGACACAGTGATATGTGCCACATACGTAAAAAAAAAGAGAAAATCTTTAAGTAAATATATTCTACAGGAATTAGATCGTGCATTGTCTGTATTTTTCTGAGTCTTCCTTTTCTCTAACAACTTTCGTCGTTAACTATATTTAACAAAAGGGAAGACTTTCTTTCTTTCATACTTATGTTCAAACTCCTAGATATACATAAGAGAATTTATTGTATTTGATGGCTTGATAAAGAATGAAAAGATACTTTTAGCTACTTCTTATGGCGAATATGTTTTTCATGATCTGCATACGAATTTCATTTGTGTCAACTTGAATCTATCCCATTTTAGTCTAGAATCATGTATCTTTGATGATATCGAGTTTATATTCTTCATTGAAAGATCGATTTTGATTTAAAATTCCTAATCCGATCTTTCTTCTATAGAAAGTGTTGATTTTACAGATGTACAAAAATCTCTTATTGAATAGCATGACGATTTTTATGCGCTCGTCTAAAAAGAAAATGTCGATGTATAAATTTTAATCAATCATGATCCGCCTCTGCAACTAAGTGATGCGAATACTGGAGTATGCACAGCGCAATAAGGAGTATAACATGAGTAAACGTACTGAGATGAAGGACAGAAAAATATGATTCATTTTATTCCGTTTTTGGTAGAAAAAGATAAAAAGCGCAACACTTTAATGTTTATAGGTGAAAGGAAGCACAGCATGTGAAAAGCAGAGAGAGACAAGTCATAAAACAATTTATTCATCCATGACTGCACTAGTGCAAAAGTAATAATTGACAAAAATCGTGCAAGAATACAAGAAAAATATCTCTTGATTGCAAAGTAAGTAAAGTGATTTTTTGGAAATTCTGAGAAACAATATGGTTTCGCTCTCACTAAATCACCTTGCTGAAAATTTAGTCAATGAATCATATTCATATCATTAAGATGATGTCATTGAAACAACTTATATGATTCAATATGGCTGAACTAACATATGTTATCGAATATTTTTTTTTCAGAATTAGTGATGTTTTTTCTTGTTGATACTTAATAAAATTTTCAAATCTAATTCGATTTATTTTCTAGGAATATTATTGAATGAATCGTATGTCGATCACCAAACAACCGTCTCATGTTAGTAAATTCTATCTTGCATGTCGAAATGGCGATGTGGATTTTGTCAAAAAATATCTGATGACTCTCAAACAAGCAAAATATGATCTAAATCCTTTAGAACCAAATGTCGATAGTACACCACTACATGCTGCTTGCTACTATGATCACAAATAAATAGTTAAATTATTGCTAGAAAATGGATGTGATCGATTGAAAATAAATCGATATGGTTTAACTGCTTATGAAGAGGCTACCAATGATGATATTCGACAACTATTCAAACGGTCACAAATTCGCAATTGTAGTCAACGTTTTCAAGATGAAGTTATAGATGATTGTTTTGATTTTGTCCGACGCCCTAAAGAAGACGTAAGCATGAATACATTGTAGATAAGTTTAAAATTCCTTTCACAAGGATACTCAGGGGTCACCACGATTGAGATGCCGATTAAAGGGTTTAAGTTTATAAATGTGTCACAGAAGGATCGATTGTTTTTGCGAGTATAAGTAAGCACAACATGTCCGTTTAATAAGTTCCTCTTTCTTTATATGAATCTGTTATGACAATGGAACCATGTTTTTTTTTTGTAGAAAAAAGAAACTGTTGTCCCTCTTTCGACGTCACCATCTGAAATGAAAAAGATGCCACCGGTTCAAACTTATAACACAAGAGCTGAAAAACAACTTGAAATAGGTTATGCTACTACATCAATAGCCATGTGTCAATCAAAACTCGGAAGATTTATTGCTGATAAATTCAATGATGATGCACCAATGTCATTGAATGCCATTGGTATTCGACTTCAAGATATAATTGACAGAGAACTCATAGCTAACAAAGATCCGGAATCGTCTAAAGCAAATGAATTATTAAATAAATTTTTAACAGATCTTTCTAATGATCATATTAAACACCTTATACGTTTGTACACATTGGAAACAAATTTTTATTCATCTCTAAGACAAAATCCAATGCCATTAGCATTACCTTTGTATATAAAATTACAAACATTAAAAGATCGGTATTTCAAAGGACTATCGTATCGTGGTGCAAAAATGACCGATGATGAAATTGCAACGTATGAATGGGCTGTTCAAAATCGTGGAAGTCTTTTGCAAACTAAACATTTTTCATCAACTTCTCAAGATCGTTCTGTTGCTGAAGGGTTTGCAGATGCAGTAATTGAAACTCCTGACAATATTCGAAAAAATCGTGTTGTGTTCATATTCAATTTTCCCATAGAATGTGATCAAGCGATAAATTTAAGTCGAATATCTGACACACAACCATGTCTATCAGAATTTGAAGATGAGAATGAAGTTTTAGTATTACCATGGACATTATTTCAAGTTGATTATGTTTACAAAGACTCATCAACATCATATACAATCTATTTAACGAACGTTTCATTACCGCAAAAAAGTCTTTTTTCATCATTCAAGTGGATATTAAAACATCCTAAAGGTTCTATAGATCGATTTCATGAACATTTTCCAGAAAGGAAACCAGATTTTATTGTAAAACATCTCATGAATAGCGGTTTCAGATTTGATCATCCAATGGTTAAGAAGAATGATGAATAACTAAAAGCCTTCTTATCATTCGATACGATCACACTAGATATATGTTTTAGATTCAATGATATTATATTTTCTCAAGAGTTGAAAATAATTTTCGTTTTCACTTTTCTCAATAATTGAGACATTCGTTTCAAACGTCTATATTTTGGTTTTCTTTGGATAACTGATTTATATTCTTTTTCTCACTGATTTCTATTGTTCTATAGTCTATACTACGCTAATCGCAAATAATCATGGGTAGAATTTGTCTCGATAACTTTGTTTTTTGAAGAATAACTTCTTCCATATCAAGTCAGAAATTTACTGTTACTCGCTACCATTACTAGATAACATAGCGATAACTTCTCTCCACTCTTCCAAATCTCTTATCTAAATTCTTTCTTTTCATACAGCTGAAAGTTTTTCTATTATGAGTTTCTCAACTGTTTTTCGTTCGACCCATGTTCGTAAGTCTGATTCTGAACATGATTTTACGGACGATCTGAAAGTTCTTATCCAGCCCTTTCTGTTGCTGAAACGCTTGCCTATTATCGAGTATTGAGAAATCGAAGGAACTAAAATTTGTAATCAAATTTCAGCCTATTCAAAAAAAATGAAAGCCACCAATAAATATTAGTACGACTTCAGATCGATTTTTTTTTCTCGCAATAAAAAATTGCCACCACCAATTATCTTCATGGATGGGTAAAATATAGAAATAGTGAAGTCCTTTAAATATCTAGATTTTCCTTCAACTAGTAAGTTATCATTAAAATCAACCATTGATAAATGTGTAAAGAGCAATTACAGGCATCTTGGAAAACTAAAATGGCTAAGAGCGAGGAAATCATTATTGGCATTAATATTACGAACATATTTTGCTTATACTTTTTCACGTCTCATCTGGCGTATTCCTCTAATTCTTTTTCTGTCAAAAACTCATCAAGACGCATTGAGACAGAAGTTCAAAATTGGAGTGACACTGGTATATCCGTATCCCATTGAGTCGGAACAGAAATTTTTCTCTGTGAAAAATGAAGATCCGCTCGATTTTTACTCTAAAAGATATACACAAAAAAAGATTATAGCAAATGCATAATTATGATATGGGATGGTCTCTTTGTTATCATGATGCATTTTTTTGAGACGATTTCAACAAAAGTCAAAGAGATAACTTTGGTCATTTGTTTCGGATGGAAAGAATGAAAAAACTGAAAGAGAGACATGAGTCTCTGTTATTCAAGTAAATTGAGTATGAGGACTAAATGCCTCTATGTGAATAGACATGACTATTTTTATCTTCCATTCTGTTCCTTGTTATCCTTACTGTTTCTTTTTTCAGATTCTTCTTTGTTTTTTGTTTTTTTTTCACTTTTCATCAATTTTCTTTCCCATGTTGTTGAAGCATCATGTTGTGGTCTACTATTGTATTGATGAACCTGTTCCCACATTGCTCAAGACTCCTCTTGCTGTGATTCTAAGTGATCTTCCCGTATCCCTATATAAGCGCTTGCATTCATAACAATAAATAGCAAAATCAAAAACATTAACATTCAAAACTACTGTTTTCACGTAGAAACTACACTATTCGAAAAATATATGTGTACATTAAATTAGTGGATAATCTATTTATTAGATATACACGACTTCTTACACGAGTGACTGACATATACATGTCCTGTTGCATTGACTTGCACGATGACAATATGACAATGGCTTCCATCTTTTATGTGACATTTTGAGTCTCTGATACAAAAGTAATTTCTTGTGTTTACACTTATCCATTCATCGTTGGTTGAAGCAGCGATTAACTCAACTCAAAATTGATATTGTAACATAAAAAGCACGATTGGTCGTAACGGCAAGTTTCTCGATTTCACGGGATTGTTTTGATTCTGAGGAACTAGATATCGATGTGACAAAAAAGAAAAAAAATATTGCATTTGTTTGCATGATAAGTGTCGTCATCAAATCTGTTTTTCCATCATTTATACACTTTATACGTATTATTTTCAATTATTGGGGGTCTACACGTATATTTCATCACTTCTTCTCAATGTATGTAATTACACAATCAGTGGACATTACACTTGGAAATTACGTATGAGCTTTTTGCCTATAAAAATGGTTATCATTGTGTTGTTTTACAATATTAACTCAAAACGCTACACGTATGGCTGAATCAATACTGAATTTCTTTGATTTTTCATCACCTTTTGTTCAATTTTGCACCCAGGCAACATGTGGTGTGTTCTTAGGTATCGCTCAGCAAGTTGCAGCAGTGTATCAATTGACTCCGACTGATGCTATCCAAAAATATGTTCAAGAAATGCCATTGAATGGTGCTATGACACAGGCCAAACAATATATTGTTCACTATGCTCGACAATGTTGTAACGAATATCTGGCCGTTCTCAATTCGAGTTCATCTGTCGAGCTGAACAAAGATGATATGAATCACTATGTCTATATTAAATTCCAAGAGATTACAAAGAGTGCTACTTTCAACAGCCATGGTTATCGGCACCTAAATTGTAT